AAGAAAAAAAATCATTGTATTCTAATATAGAAATAGAATGATCAAAGGCACCAAAGCAAATAGACAGTTTTCCTGGAATAAAACATTTAGTGAAAGAAGGGATTAAGAACAACATGGAGAGCTCATTTGGGGCATGTTTGTGAAGAGCTTTCCAAACAAGCTAAAAATTTAAGGCATCATCCCATGATTATTGAAATTGCCAATAAAGAGATGACATGAAAACAGCTTTTTAGGGGAAACTGTCAGTGGAATTGGAGACTGAATTTATGATGTAGAGATGCAATTCAAATTATTATGAATTTCTAAATATGGGAAAATACCTTGGAATGTATTACATGTAGAGTGCCTATTTTGAGAGGTCACTCCTTGATCTTTCCAACAAGATAATTTTATCTCGTATCCTGGCACACTTTTTCTGTAAAGGCCATATTGTAAATATTATAGGATGGTAGCCATAAAGTCTTTGCTACTTAATTATTCAACTTGTTGCTATGGCCCAAACCCAGCCATAAACAGTGGGTAAATGAAATGGCAAGGCTCTGGTCCAATACACTTTATTTATGGACACATGACACAATAAGTTGTCATGTGTCACAAACTATTATACTTCTTTTGATATTTTTTCAACTACTTAAAACATGTAAAACCATTCTTAGCTTGCATTGACTCCAGTGATACAACCTATGACCCTCTATGCTCCAAGCCAACAGCTGCTTATCTGAAATCTTTTGTAAAAAAGGAGAAAATAAACACACACACACACACACACACACACACACACACACATATATATATTATAGAGAGAGAGAGAGAGAGAGAGAGAGAGAGAAAGAGACAGCCTGTGTCTTGGTTAAAAGGCTGGAACTCACATCACATGGCTGGCTGTGATGATGATGTGAGTGACACAAGTACTGGAGAGACACAGCAGACGCCCATGCATGCCATATCCCCAAAGGAGCGAGATGCAGAGGAGAAAGGATCATGGTTTGACCCTCCCCATGAGTGTGTTTCCTTCCTCTTCTCCTCCCTCTCTCCCTCTCTGGTGAGCCCATGCACCCTCTGGCAAAATTAAAACTAAAACATAACAAATCAATCTATACACAGTACTACTAACACATTCTGAATTAAGCATTTTGATCATTATGGAAAGAAAGGCAAAAGTAGTGGACTCTGTTTTTATTCAATTTGTTTATGATAGCCTTAAGGAAAGTCGTATAATACAGTACTTAAATAAATGGTGTCAGTGGCTCAAGGCTAGCACCTCTCATGAGCAAATCAAACGTATACATTAAAGTCTCATAAATGTTAGGCTGAAATTATTGTCAAATCCAGAGAAAAGAGGTCCCACTAATGCCCACATTTTATTTTTTAAGTATTAGTAGATGGAAAATTTTTAAAATGGTTTTGTCATTATGGGCTGCATAATCTCCTGCATCGTATCATATAGAAACCTCTCCCCAGTTTATTCAAGGCAATTTCCTTTCGATCACTTGGAAATGGTCATTGATTATCAAGCAAGCATATCCAAACGTTGTTCTCTTTATTTATTTTCAACTCTTCCCCTGTTCTGTGTACGTTTGTTTATCACACATGTATGAGAAAAATAAACACAGTGTGACAATTAATTTGCATAGAAGTAGAGATGTGAATAATACTGGAATTCAGGAAAGTAAAAGGTTACATAAATATGCATTTCCAAACTCTTAGCACTAACAACTAGTTTTATTTGCTTTTCCCTACCTGCAGCTGTCTCGCAGGGTGGGGAAGATTGCAAAGGCCAAAGGTCCTCTTTCTGCTGTGATTTTTCACCCAAAGCAGCACAGTCTATGGACAAGATTCATGGCCACTCTGTCTCTACATACACCAAGGAGTATTTCTAAAGAGCTATTTTTGTTACATACACAGAATGAAATATAAACAAACAAAAGCAATTATTGTCTCCATTGCTTAGATTCACATAAAAGTGTGGTTTTTAGTCTAATTCTGAGATGGTCGCTTCAATTTTTCACTCCAATAGACAAAAGTCATCAGCTGGTGCTCAGTAAACAATTTGCTACAGAATTAAATTTTAGGCTAAGATCTAACAACTGCTAATATGTAAATAATAATTTCTTAAACATGGAAGTTTCTTAAAATGTTTACGCAGTGGAATTTAGTTAAAAATGTCTTCATTATTTGCCTACATTTGACCCATAATTGTATGTTTACAAATGTATAATGAAAATAGCTTGGCTATTATACACCTACAACTGGTGTCCTTAATTATTAATATTTAGAAGCAAATTCTTTCTTGATTTATTTACCTTTCGTAAAGAATATAGAGTTAATTTATAAACTCACCAAATTACCTGGAAGAAATTGTAGCTCATTTTGTAATGAGAAAAATAAACCACTGAATCTTTTGTTTGTTTGATTGTTTTGTCTGTTTTTAAAGGTCTTTGCCTTAGAACATGTGCTCTCGCTGGAGAGAGAGAGAGAGAGAGAGAGAGAAGAGATAGTGAGAGGGAAACTGAAAAATCACCGCATAAGGTGGATGGCCATGCTGTAATCCCCTCTCCTCCATTTTCCTCCCAGGATCTTGGACGTGCATGCACACATGCCCAGAACAATTTTCAACCTATCGGGTCCAGGGCTCAAACCACAGTTATCATGTGGGAGTTCAACATCATAACAGCTACATAATCTGCTGGTCCCAACTACTAATAGTTTTTAAAGTAGTTTTCTCAAGTCTTAACTAACCAGATCTTCAAAGTTAGATTTCACCTTTGTTATATCAAGAGGTGCAGAAAATACTCAGTTCTTAGGAGAAACAGAAGAGGCAAAAGGACCTTAATCCATGACCTGACATCACTCTCCGCCTCCCCCATGGTTTTCCTGCCAGTAATGACCATGTGTAGCAAGCTGCTTCTCTGTTCATTACAGAATATTTACCCTGGAAGCCAGTTGTTCGGCCAGTATATAACCAAATGCATAATAAATAATAAATTTCTCTGCTATTGTAACAACCACAGATATATCAGAACTTCTTCAAATAAATTATTGTGAATAAGGAAAATAAGATATGGAGTACAAGTCAGAATTAGACTAACGCTATTATCACCTTAATATATCCTTTAAATGCTACATTCCATTCTGGGGCTCTCTCATTTTATTTAGCCTGTGGATTAATCCAGCCAGAATTTTAATCAGTCCAGATTAAGTCTTAATATATTATTTATAGCTTTTTATTTGTGCTGAATTATGCATTTTTATCCAAATAAGTGTGGTAATTCTGTCAGATTCATGTAAAAGCAAATTTGAATGTCCAGCAAAGTTTTATATTAATATAAATGTTTTATATTTTTTCATAGACTTGAATCAAAGGAGCCTTTCCTGTCTGTTGGGTGAGTATATGTCTATATATTTTAAATATGAATTCTTTAATTCACATTAATAAGGTCTTCTTAAATGATATTTCCTGTCGCTTAACTCCATATTCAAAATCATATCTTATCATTTCATGCAACATTGCTATCTATGTTTTATGAAGACCTAACTATGCTTACAAATGGTCCCCAGGCTATTTTGTGACCTCAGAAATTCAGCTAATCAGTGTATATGGAATCCTGTATCTTCATTATTTTTTTTCCCTAAGCACTTGCCACAGAGAGACAGACAGAGGGAGAGAGGGAGAATGCAACACTCAACAGGGCGAGGTCACATTGCAATCTCTTCTCCATCCTATCGGGATTTGGGGGCACGCGTACACACATGCTTGGTGTTTTTCAAGCTACTGGGGCTGGTATTAGAACCACAACTGGCCGTTTGACATTGGGCTACAGTCCTGACCGGAAATTCTGTATCTTTTTCTATTAAAGTTAAACAAGTACGCAGTGATTATGTGTAGTCTAATCGTGTAAATGTATGCTCACCTTGGTTTTTAGGATTCACCTGAACCAGAGCTTCACTATTTCCAGTCTGTCTATTCATTTTTGTACTCAAATTCTTCTCAACTTACTCTATTTTGTGTTTATTCCCTCTCCTCTAAATCTGTCTTCAAAATCTGTGTCTAGCTCTCTACCTTTTCTTTCATTGCACGCTTATTTCTCCAATTCACTCACACTGACTATTTTTCTGAACACAAACTGAGAAACCCTGAGGCTGATTTAGGTAAAATTAATATGTGCCTCTTCCTTCTCTTTGGGTACTGTTCTGTGACACAATATATGCCCAAATCATAGTATGTTGTTGACAGGGTACATGTTCTATTTTCAAACATTTAAAACTAAAAGTCAACAACTTTTTTAAAAGAGGTTTCTGTCTTAAGACATGTGGACTAGCCAGGGAGAAGGGGAGAGAGTAAGAGAGACGGTAAAAGGGAAAGTGAGAAATCACCTCCCAGGGAGGATGTCCACATTGCAATCCCTTCTCCTCCATGCTCCTCCCAGAGTCTTGGGCATGCACACACATGCGCCTGGCATGAGTTTCAAACTACTGGGTTCAAGACTCAGACTGCGATTTGCCATGTGGGAGTCCAAAGATGTAACCACTATGCCATCTGCTGGCCCCCCGTCAGCATTTTTTTAAATCAGATCTATCAAATAATTATTTAACCTTAATTCTTAACCAATTTCTTAAAATATCTTGTGAATGGAGTTTTGCATGTTCATCCTCATGGTTGATATAAAATATCAAAAAGTGTTGGAAGACATTGCTAAATCAAGGGAAATCATGTTATATTTGATGAAAAAAAAAATCACAACTAGGCAGCCACCATACTCATGCTTAATGACCAGAAATATGGGATAGGGCTGGATTTTAAATAATCAGATCGATTTTCTTTTATTACTTTGTTCACAGCTTTTGATTATTTCTGTCACTCACTGGGCAACATGGTTCCCAAATCTCTTCCATTCTTTATAGAAGCATTTCACAAAGCCACTTGAATCATGGAAATCAAAATAATTGCTGAGGAAGGTGGAAGAGAAAAATGGAGTATATCCATTTATTGGAGGGCTTTATGAAAAATGAAAGGTCAAGTTGATTTGTTTCAAAAAAATTGTTAAAGCATGCTTCTTTCTTGTATTGATCATCAGTTCCTATTGTTAAAAATCTCTAAAGCTGAAGAAATTCTTTATTTTGAATGCATATGTGTCTGCCCTCAAGTCCAGAGGGCTGAAATAGCTTCTCTTCATGCCTCACTTAATGCAGTTTCTCTGCAACTTTTCCAGTTCTCCCACTACTATGAGATAGAATCCATTAATTCATCTCTCTGGATTTTTTTTTTTGAGAGGTTTTTGCTATAGGGCACGTGTGCTAGCCAGAGAGAGAGAGAGAGACAGAGAGACAGAAAGCGAGAAATCACCCCCCATGGGGGATGGCCACACCGCAATCCCTTCTCCTCCATTCTCCTCTCGGGATCTTGGGCACACACTCACACGCGCCCAGTGTGAGTTTTAAGCCACCGGGTCCAGGACGCGAACCATGGTCGACTACATGGGAGTCCAGCAATATAGCCATTACACTAACTGCTGGTCCCATCATCTCTATTTTATAAGGGTAAACCCTAAGTAATGTTTGCTTTAAACTTCTTAGTTGTTTAGCATTCTCAGAGCCCTTGAGAAAAACTTTCCAAAAAAGCTTGCTCAGAGGGGAAAAAAGGCCATGATACTACTCAGATATAATTGTTCTTTATATCTGGCTTACAAGTCAAGTGGGATATAACATGCAACCCAAATAGTTCTGCTGACTTTATATTTTAATTAAGAGGTACATTTCTCCATTGCCTTCTATTATTTTGAATTTGGGCAGGAGATTTTTTTTTTTTGGTTTCTCATATTTCCTTTTTTTCTTTCTTTTTTTTTTTTGAGAGGTTTTTGCTACAGGGTACATGCACTCTCTAGACAGACAGAGACAGAGAGATAGAAAGCGAAAAATCACCCCCTAGAGGGGATGGCCATGCCTCAATCCCTTCTCCTCCATTCTCCTCTCGGGATCTTGGGGAAGCACGCACATGCGCCCGAGGTGAGTTTAAGTCACCAGGTCCAGGACTCGAACCGTGGTCGACTACGTGGGAGTCCAGCGACATAGCCATTACGCTAACTGTTGGTCCCGGTTTCTCACATTTCTTATGCCTCTGCAGTGGTTTCTGGTCATCTAATGGATTAAATGTTTTTTCCTAGTGTTTGGAGTTAAATCTGAGGAGGAGGAGACCTGCAGTCTCTAAATAGTACCATTTTTCTCCCTTTGCACAGCTAATTTCATGGAAATTGAGGACTAATCTGACCCTAAAAGTATTCAGATATTTGGCTACTGAGCACTTGGACCCGTCTAGAAAATCAATATATGGAGGCTGAGCAAATAAGTGAGAAAAGTATAAAGAAAACAAAAAAAGAAAAAACAAAAAAGAGAGAAAAAAAAAACAGAAATGATAAAAAGAAAAGGAAAAAAATTTTGAGCAAAAAATTGAAAATCGCACTGCACAAATGGGGCTGCTCAGAACTCAGATATAGATGGCTGCTGATGGGCTTGTCCTGGCTCCTGGCTAGATGTGGGAGTCAGGAGGTTCTGGGCAGAAGGTCTTCGATGAACCTAATTTCGGGGCTGTATGAACTTCTAAAAGTAGCTTTCCCCCTTATCGGTGCTGACATTTATAAGCTGGCCATATTAGTTTAGGCAAGTATTCAAACCCCAGCTTCAGGTCCTTATTTTTGAAATGCAGTGAACTGAAATAATTTAGATCCAACATTCACGATCTCTTCTTCATGGGAGTTAGGGAGCCCAATTCTTCCTTTGATAAATGTGATACACTGATTTCATTAAAATGTCACAATGAAATTTCAGTCTGAATATGCCAGTGAAAATAAATTGTCAAAAAATAATATTATAACACAAGAAAATAATTGCTTGCCGATTAAACTCAGGGTCGTAGGAAATGCAGTAGAGTGAAATCCCGGATCTCAGTTCCAGTCTTCAACTAGACATGGGCATAAAAATTTTCCTTCCTTGGCACTAGTAAATGATTAAGGAAATATTGTCACTAGGAAGAGCTCTTTAAAAAACTATACGCCCTTCTTGCCTCTCTGAATGTAAGTGTATGTTTATATTATTATAAATAAATAAAAATTTTAAATATATTTAAATATTAAAATTCTTGCCCATTTCAGTCATTTAACATTAAAAGAAAAATTAAGCAACCTTGTATTTTAGTGTGGGTCTTAAGCTTTGGGGCTAAGTGACTAATTGACTGATATTCCAATCATGCTCAAATTATTATAGTTTAGAGCAATTGATAAAACTAGTGGCACATGCTTCCTGTTATGTGGCATCAGACAGATTTCAATTTCAGAAATAAGTCGAGAGAAAAGAGGCATCTAGTTTGCATGTAGGAAAGTGACTAAGAACCACATAATCATCTCAGTTAAGATTCTATGACATAAATCTTAGTTTAAAACTAGCCTTGCTTTGAAAAAAGTTTTTATGACTTTTTAAGGAAAAATACAGATGGGGGAAATGAAGAGCCTAGTCATACTAAGTCTGAGATTCATTTTGTAAAAGGACATGTCAAAACAATTCTTAGGGTCTCAAGTACAAGTCTGTGACACTTGACACTTTGCATACACCAAGCCACTTAAAAAAAAGACTCTCAGGGCACCAAAGGAAAATTCCCATGTGAATTATTTCTTCTGAACTCTTCAACATGAAATCAACCTTTTATTAAAGGTAGAGTTTATTATGAGTCAGTGGTACTTTGGCATTATACTTTTGATTTATACCAGTTTATCAGCAAGTGAGTTTTTTTCCTCGTAGCTTTATGATGAGGATGATTATTACATCGGAAACTTTTTTCAGACTTCTTTCACTGTATCAGAATCATTTAAATAACTCAGAACAATGTAAAAGTTATTCTGAACCAGATGGTGGTCCAGAGGTTAAGGGGATCCAGTCTCTTGGATCACACAAGGCCGACGGCACAATTCCAGTGCTAGACCCAAAGGCATGGTGTGCAGGTGTGCATGTGTACGCATGCCCAAAAAGTCTCAAGAGGAGAATGGAGGAGAAGGGACTCAGGGTCATTCCCCCACAGCGAGTGCTTTCTCATTTTCCCTCTTTCTCTTTTTGTCTCTTTCCAGTGAGCACATGCACCTTTTAGCAAACAAACAAAAAATATATTATTTATTTACTTATTTCAGAATATATTATTTCTTACATTTAATTGCAAGGTCTTCAAGAAGACATCCAAGATAAAAATACCTGCCAAGCCTGGATCTCTGAAGTCCCCTGCAAAGCCGACCCTGAATCAAGAACTGACCCTCACAATTGTATTTTGTTAAATATCTCCTTGAGACGGGACTAGCAGAGGACACAGTGATTGTGTAGGTGGATTCCCTTAACTGCAGTTTAA